ACGAATGCCTACCGGTGGCACAGTCGAAGGTCTGCAGGCTTCAGAAAAAGGCGACCAGTTGGAGGTGGAATCACTGGGTGTCGGTAAGATTTTAGGAGGAATAGGAGTAGGCGGACGAGGCTGTGAAGGGCCAGCAACCGGGTTTGCTAGATATTCGGTTTCTACTGGGGCAGTGTTTGGAGGAGACATCAAATCTAAGGTCGAAATAATAAGTATATGTTAGAAAAATAGACAATCGAGTTTAAAATTTTACCGAAAATACGTTTACCCAGCACATAGTAAAGGATTTGAAGGTATTGGTTTCGGGGTTCCAAAACTCTAACACATGTCTATTTCGCAAAAAAACGGAACAAACCTGAATTAATGAATAATCAGACAGTAAATGGCTTAAAGCGAATCACTGAAATAATTCCAGGGAATATGCACGAGTATAAGTTGTAACACTTGGGGGATACGCAAAGGTACTAACCACAGTAAAACTACACAAGAACCACGGAACTTCTTGAAGACGAAATTTTCAGAAGTGTAGATAAGACGTCCATACTTTTCTTTGCACCCGAATTCTGACATTAAGGAAGGTCGTCTTAAAAAGTTTAGTGACCAACGCAAGAAGTATACACAGCTTTTATAGGGAGTGTGATCGTCATACTCCTCGGAAAATATCCTCTGGGATGACAAAACATCAAGATAGACAAAGCTAACTTCGAGCAGATCCCATCAGAGCTAGTCGTGTAAATTAACATAAATGGCCTGCTTCAATGTATGGTTGAGAATGTAGGTCCAAAGGATTCCTACAATGTTCTGTATGAAAATCTAATGGCCTATTATATAACAATATATGTCTGCCCGAGTCTTATAACGCTATGATAACGCTCTGACGCAGGTAAACTGAAAGAAGCTGCCTTTCGTTGTAGTTCACAAGGACGAGCCTTTTGGTTGCACGTGTTCTGAAGTTTTTATTTTCTTAAATTATAGGTTATTGTTCTGCGCACTTAAATAAAAATTATTAGGAGGGAATGACAGATTTGAATAATTCAATTGACCCAATTGTGACGTGGGTTCAAGTCCCAAAGACGCCACGAATTTTTCAAAATTGGGTCAATGGAAAAAGAAACTAGCTATAAAACGCCCTAACGGAGCTCGTGTCTATTTATCCATAGCTTCGTACAGGTGCCTGGGATCCGATCGCACAATACAGAACTTTCTGGCTCACAAATATAACAGTTCGACCATCGTATCCGACGAGGTCAAAGGTGTGCCCACAACAAGGTGGCGTAGTCGATCCCCTTCCCCACAAGAGTCTGGTGTTATAACCAAGTCAAGAGAACCGGAGTCGGGAAAAGCCCAGGTGGTATTCACATAATGTCTAAGTACCAATCGTACACTACAACATTTTTAACAGTCTTGCTTGAGACGGCCATAAGTTTTTTTTCCCTTAGAAAATGTTTGTTGGAAATTGTAAGACCATATTTGGTCTTTTATCTAATATTTGACGTGTCGCACAGTTGGAAAATTATCGAACATTTTCAGGTGCTCTTATAAAACTGTCTTTCGCAAGACATTAACGTTGTTGCCGTCGTTTTACGAAGTTTAACGCTTAACCAAAGATATTAAAACGTAATTTAAAGAGGTTTAAAATATACCTGCTAGACATTGGCCAGCCAACCCAATGCGACGACATTGCGCCTCGATATTTTCCACGGAGGCGTAAACATTAGTGGCGGTACGCAGACAAGTCGAATCGAGTGATAAAGCACTACCGGTTGGATCGTAAGTCCGTTCCTTCAAGTTCTCAGTCCTAGACAAAAAATCTGAAGCAAATTCACACATACGCTTCTGCACTGCAAACATCACTATAAAAGCCGGTAGCCTGAGGAATCGGTTCACATTCATCAAAAGTTTTGTGCAACCGGTAAGTAAGATACTGAATTATGCCGACTAAAAGCACAACGGTAACAGAGTATACGGTCCAGGCAATTATGGACTGTGGTTTTATCTGAAAGCATGACTATGTGGGAAATACATATATTACCAGTGTTATTGCAAGCGGCACAATAAAGAAATAGAGCCACAGATACATATGGATACAGCTGACAACGTAGCCTTGTGACGGATCGAGGAAAAATCCGCCAGTTAGGGAGGCTATTATGCCTTCCCGAAAAATAGTGCCTATCATGCACATTTCAGCACCGGAAAAACTTAAGGTAGCACCCTGATTCCTTGCAGCTAAAGAGATGCATTGCAAAATGTGCGCTTAACTATAGAGGTTATGCAAGGCTGCATTCCGAATTTAATCATTAAGGATGAGGTGAGGCTCTGAAATAGAGGGCCTAGACAACGGGAGATCCAGAAATAAGCCTATTATTCTGCGTTTGTTCAGCCGGCAATTAAAAACATCCAAATAAACAACTATATCGTTGAATGCATTTGCTAACGTTGCCGGCGTTTTTTTAAATGGCATTTTCCATTAACGTGCTTTAAAAATGTTTATACTCGTTAAAATGTGCCTCCAGTTTCTGCCTATGCACTTTGCTATGTGATATAGATACTTATAGGGAGGCAAATGAGGGCAGGTGTCATTCCAAACTGAAGCTCACAGACTGACGAGCCTTGTGCACTTCATTCTCAAAGATTTGTATTTGGATTTAAAATTAAAGCTTCGCCTCCGAACACCCAAATTCGACTTATTTATGACGTTGTGTACTCAGAAGCCTCGACCCATTTGCGCCTTCGTCGATTAGAAGAGGGTATTTTTGTCGTTTAGGCTCCTATTTTCATTGCCACTTTGAAGCCATATGTTGGCTCTCTACGCAAAAAACGCCGCCTGTGATGCTTCGTTCTTCCTCGGGCACCTTCATTGATGGATCAACAGTTTTCTTTGTTAAAGCACTTACCGTCTGTAAAAAGTAATCCATTGTGACAGATGGAGGTACAGCCAGAACTCTGAGATTTGTAATATTTTTTTATTAGACAGCCGTCAATAGACTCCCTCCGTTCTTCTTGATAAGGTGAGACTTATCAACTTTCCCACCTCTCTGTCGCATTTGTTGTCAGATTTTTTGACGGCGCCGAAGATGTGCTTTACAAATAAACCTTATTATTATTGAGAAGAAGAAGACTCGATCGCTGTGATCGATCGCTGCGATCGAGTCTTCTTCTTCTCAATTGCTTCCTTGGACACGGATGTTCGCTTGTATTGGCTTATTATTATTATTCACTTTTGCACGTCAGCTAATAAACTGAAATTTCCATTGTATCTGCGTTTCTTCATTTATATCGCGTATTCCCACAATGGCTGACTCGGTCCGTGTTAAGTATAATGAAATTGCCGAAAAAACCTCAAAGATTCTATCGCAGTTTCTTAGTTTAATAAGGAATCCCTTTGCTGCTACCATCGTCGGTTCTGGTTCTGTAAGGAAGAGAACAAGGGGTACGCCAGCTGGGAGGAACAGTACATTCTGTACAGAGATAAAGGATAATAGGCTGGAAAAAGTTGGCACCGGAGATACATGCGCTGCAGCCGCGGTGACCGGTATTCGAAATGGATCGCGCGGAAGTCGGCAAAGTGATTTCAGTGAGGCCGTGCATGAATCAGCCTCAGGTAGATTCTTGGTTAGGCAGATGATTGTAGGCAGGCTCCAGTGAGTATGTGGTAACAGTCGCAAGGGGCGAGAGTTTGGTCATTACACTCGGAGTTGGGCTCTTGCAAGCGATCCCTATCCAAAAGAAGGATAAATATTTAAACTGGCGTAATGAGATACATGCCGATGGTAGTGTTGTGCCTGGCGTGGATGGCTTGAGCTGGCATGAATGAGCCACGTAAATAGGATAGTTGGAGAACGTGGGTGGTTTGGTTGCGCGTCGAAAGGCAAATCGGTATGCCGTGTCAGCATTAGTTGATTTGAGTGAAGAGGGGTACTGTTGTCATAAGCGTAATTTGGGATATTGAGAATGAAATCCGGACCGCACTGTTGGATTGCGAAGGAACCATGGTTTGGAACCGATGGGCTGAGAGTGGTTTTTGACCTCCATGAGGACATGTCGGGGACTAAATTCTCCATATCGAAGTCGCATCAGATTACACAAGAAAGTTCAGTTGAAGTC